TCTGACCCAGCTCCCTGCTAATGCACCTGGGAAGGCAGTGGAAGATGGCCCAAATGCTTGGGCCCCTGCACCCATGTGGGAGACATGGACAGAGCTCCTGGCTTCTGGCTCTAGTCCTGCCCAGCTCTGGCTTTTGGGGAATGAACCAGCAGATGGAAGATCTCTCTCTCTCCTTCTCCCCCTATGTCACTCTGCCTTTCAAATAAATAAATAAAAATCTTTATTTTTTTTTAAAGTTCCTTCTTGGAGAAAAATTCCTGTCCCTGTCTGGACCAGTGAAACTAGAAAGTAACTTGTGTCCAGAATACTACAGCAAGACGCCCGTGGTGCACCAGACACAGACATTCCTGTCCGAAAGAGGGAGAGGAGAGGAAGGAGTGATGAGCAAGGAGTGGCTTAGAAACCCCAGAGCCAGACAGCCATGGGTTTCAAGTTCTGGGGGGATCCTCAGGGGCCTAATCCTGTACCCTCTGGGCTCACAGCCTGGCACCAGGGCCGGGGGTGGGGAGCTTGCTGGGGTCAGTATGCAGGCTAGGACAAGGGCCACAGAAACACCAGGTGACCCGGTCTCAACTGTGGCAGGGTGTGTTTGTCACCAAGACTCTAATACAACATCTTGAGCACGATTCTTCCTCTTCTTCTTCCTCTTCCTCCTCTTCTCCTTCTCCTTAAGATTTATTTATTTGAAAGTCAGAGATACACAGAGAGAGGGAGAGACAGAGATTTTCCATCCACTGGTTCACTCCCCAAACAGCCACAATGGCCAGGGCTGGGCCAGGCCAGAGCCAGGAGCCAGGAGCCCCCGCCCGTGCTGCCCCAGCCCTGGTGGTGGTCCAGGATGGGCTCCTCCACCCAGGCCTCACTTCCCCCACCCACGTGGTCCTGTCTTACCATCAATGAATATCCCGGGTGTTGGCACAAGGCCCAGGGGTCCCCCGGCTGCAGGCCCTCCCCGTGTCCCATGAGCCTGCAGGGAAAGCCGGGGAGGCTCGTGGTAGCTCGGCCCTGGGCTGGCCCGGACTGGGAGGTGGCTGCCATCCTTCACCTCCAGTCTCACCAAGAATCCTCCGACAGCAGTGGGAAGTCTTCATTTCACAGCCTGGGGTGCCTGGGGCAGCTGAAGTGGCAGGCTCTGGGGGTGGAAGTCCCGCCTCTTGGCTCCCATGGCCCCTCGCTTCCTCATGCAGGCTGGAGCCCCCTCTCCCCCAGCTCTCCCAAGGTAGCACCAGGAGTCACTACCACGACCCTGGCCATGCCCAAAGGCTGGCCTGCCTTCCCCTGGCCTCCTGCCTCTGCCCCTGGACAGAGGACAGTCACAGCACTGGGCGTCACTGAGCATGTGCAGACTGAGCACATGGTGGGGTCCATCGGGGGCTCAGTTTCCCTGGTGGTAGAAGGGGGGTAGCATTTAAAACCCTTCCCTCGAGCCTCTCTCCCGACTCCTGAGCTTCAGTCCTGCGTGGTGGCTCCGCCCGAGCCCGGCTCCTGGAGGCCTCACCCAGACCCGCAGGCCCAGGATGAGCAGAGAGCGGAGGTGGTGGTCAGTGGGCACCTGCTCGTCCCGAGCTGTAGTGCTGCCCAGGAGGGTTCTAAGGACAGCATGGTAGACGAGGCCGTGCCCTGGTGATCGTGGAACGCCGCCATTGTTCGCAGGGAAGAGCACGTGACCAGTCCTTCTCCAATACAGAAATACAGAGGGCAGACAAGTGTCAGCAAAGCCCCAGGCCCTTTGCCTGCCACGCACCCCAGGTTCAGCCAAAGCAAGGAGTGGGCATTGCCAGGGCAAGGGTCTTCCCTGCAGCCCCTCCCAGCTCGTCCTCAGCCACCTCCCCCCGGGGCACCTGCCTGCTGCTATTTCTCAATGCAAACGGGAAGCAGTGACTCATGGTGATCTGTGCCCACGCTGTGCCCAGACTCTGGGCCAGAGCCCAGGCTCAGTGTCCAGGACAGCTCAAGCCCCAGAGACGCTCTCCGTCTCCCACCTTGCCGTTGGATGCCACTGCAGCGGGCAGAGAACTGACTCACATCCGTCAGAGGCCTCCAACAGCACAGACAGATCGCCAACAGGATCTACTGCAAGGACACCTCGAAAAGGTCGAAAACAAAATTGGGAGCTAAGTTTATTTCGGCACAGACACATTTTGCAATCCACACATACAAAGGGTCTTCACAAGCCTCATGAACAATGCCTGTGAAGAAAACAAACTATGGATGGATTTCAAAATGCACCAAAACAAACATCTGCCACCTGCACCTTCCATGGCTTTGTGCACATGTGAGACACACACAGAGGAGGGGGATTTACGAGGGAGCTGGTTGGCCGCGGGCCGGGGACCTGGGATGAACCTCGGTAGCACGGCTCAGGCCAAGGCTGGAAGCTTCAGAACCAGGGAGCAGAGGGTACAACTTCCAGTCCAACACCAGGGAAACTCGGGGGTAGGGGGTGAGGCAGTCGCTGGCATTAAGTCCTGGAATCCAAAGGCAAGAGACCTGGGAAGAGGTTGTCCCTGCTCCACGTGCCCCCGCTCCATCTGGCCCAGCCAATTAGGGGGCGTCCACCACACTGGAGCTAGCTCCTCCCCTCTCAGGGCACGGCATCAATGCCCACTTCCCCACGGACACACCCGGAGAACGCTCCACCGGCCCTGCAGGCGTCCCTCAGGGTCCAGAAACTTCCACGGGGAAACTTTCCTCTATTATGAGCGTAGCCAACACACTGGGAACTTTAATTTAAAACATCGCAGATATTTTCACCACATTATTGAAGAGCTTTCAAAATACTGTTTATGCTCATCACTATCTGGGAATCAGGGCAGCGATTAGATAAGGAGGCCTTGTTATTTAATGCATTAAGCGGCACATTATGAAAATATTGAGATAACTGCGTCAGTATAATCAGTCGTCTTTGTTCTATGCGCTTCATTCATGGGAAAACCTTTGCCAAGGAGGTAGAGACATTCATGGCCCGAACAGGGTAAAGGGCTGAGTCCACACAGCTGCTTCTCCTAGACGCAGGCATCCTGAGGGCGTGCCGCTGCCCCTGCCCCCCAGGCTGCTGCCAGAGCTCTTCCAGGGGCGCCAGCGAGCTGGGCATGGCGGTGCTCCTTCCCTGGCCTCCCGTCCAGCAGCAGGAAGGACCCTGCCTCCTGGCTTCTCACGCACCTCACAGCAGGGCGCAGACGGGGCCTGAGAAGTCAGCAGGGGCCATGGGGGGTGGGGGGCTGCTGAGAAACGCGTGCCCTCCCCCAGAGAAGACGGCAAGTAGCACAGAGGAAGCCAAGTGGGAAGGGGGTGGTCAGACAGGAAGCAGTTTGTTCCAGGATCCACTCGGATCCTATTACCACTGCATTTCTTTTTAAAGATGTATTTATCTATATGAAAGGGAGAAAGAGAGAGAGAGAGGCAGACGCAGAGAGAGATCTTCCATCCTAAATGGCAAAGCGGCAGGGACTGGGCCAGGCTGAAGCCAGGAGCCAGGAACTCCATCCAGGGTCTCCCATGAGTGGCAGGGGCCTAAGCACTTGGGCCATCTTGCACTGCTTTCCCAGGTGCATTAGCAGTGAGCTGGATCAGAAGTGGAGCAGCCTGGATCCAAACCAGCACCCCTGGTTTGTAGGTGGCAGCTTTACCCACTATGCCACACTGCCAGACCCCACCCCTGCCCTGCCCTGTACATTTTAAAACACGTGAGATCAGGGGCTGGTGCTGTGGCACAGTGGGTTAAAGCCCCAGCCTGCAGCGCCAGCATCCCATGTGGACGCTGGTTCTAGTTCCGGTTGTTCCACTTCCGATCCAGCTCTCTGCTATGGCCTAGGAAAGCAGTGGAAGATGGCCCAAATCCTTGGGCCCCTGCACCCACCTGGGAGACCTGGAGGAAGCTCCTGGCTCCTGGCTTCGGATCAGCTCAGCTCTGGTCGTTGCGGTTATTTGGGGAGTGAACCATTGGATGGAAGACTTTCTCTCTCTCTCTCTCTGGAACTCTTTATTTCAACTAATTAAAAATAAATTATTAAAAAAAACCACATGAGTTCATACTGCAGAGTCCTATAGCTGGGTGGAGTTTGAGATTTTACTCTGGAAGGTGCTGCAAATCCCACCCTCCGTTCTCCCATTAGGAATCCACACAGCTCCCCTGTCCACAGAACGGGGGATGGGGAGGGCAAGCCCCTTCCTGAGCAACCCGCCCACGGCAGAGCCCGCCTGCCCAGGCTTCCTCTTGTCCCCGGCCCGTGTGCTCATGTCTGTGTCCCAATCCCACGGAAGCACAGCTCAGACGCACCCCTTTGGGGCACGGTCCATGTGCTCAGCCGGCAGGACGTCTTGCTCCTCCCTTTCTGGGGCCTGTAGCATGTTTCTCCCCCACCCCAGGTCTTCCCTGGGACTCTCGATGTGACACAGAGCATCTCAACAGATCACTGCTGGACGGATGCACAGTTCCCGGCTCTGCTGGGTACCAGGAGATGAGCGGACGGCAGCAGAGACAGACTTGGTCCATGCCGCTTGCCCCGGCACCTGCGGGATGGTTGGCACGCAGGTATTTTAAAAGTGATCCAAAGACCGCCAAGTAGCCTGGGATGGAACTGCAGGGTCCCACATCCCGGAAAACAAGCCTAAAGATCTTAACACACGTTAACAACTGTGAACATTATCCGGTCTCGTGGTTTGGAGCCTGGGTATGGGTCCAAATGCCCAGGCCGACTCCGGGTGGGTGCCCAGGAGTGGTGTGACCTGCTGGCTGCTGGTCCTGAACAGGTGAGCCGCTGCAGCCTCCACCTCCCAAAGGACTGCACGTGAATTTTCTCTGAAGGCTTCACTGGGTGCCGGGCACATCATAAATACTCTACAGGTTATTACAGATGAGAATAAACAACAAAAGGGCAGAGCAATAAAAGGCAAACGCATTTTAGAGAGGTGATGAGAGACAGCGGCTGAGCAGGGGCCCCGGGGGACGGCGCAGCCACCCTGTGGAGACCAGGAAAGACGCAGCCGGCAGCAGAGGGCAATATCTATAAAGTATCTTCTCTTTATTTAAGTTAAACAATTGTCAAGGATGGTTTCCATCTATAAAATGGACAAAGTACAAGCTCTGTACAGCAGTTTGTTTTAAAAATCAACTGGGAAAAAAAAATTACCAAACTATATTTTGAATTTTGCAAAACATACTCGCAGGTACCATCATTCCGGCTTTTTATGAGGACGTGGGACGACCACAGAGAAGACGGCGAACTGTGTCACGCTTTACTCCGACGGCTCTTAGCAAAGAAGTTTGCAAGTTTTTTAAAAACGGGCGTGGGCGAGTGGGGCAGTCCCGATGACGAGAAAACCAGGCAGCCGCAGTCAGTCACTTTGGCACACTGCGTCATGTAAACATAGCTCCTGCGGAGGCCCGCTCCCTCCAAAGCCGCCCCAGCCGCCCGGGGCGCAGCCAGCCCAGGGCACTGGGTAGACACGGACGTCCCCACAGTACCGAGGGTGGTAGGATTTCTGGGTCATGTGGAGGGGTGTACGGCCAAAGGATGCATCTTCAGAAGCCCTGATCCAACAGCACAGGCCAGGTTGGTGCAACCTCGGCGTGCTCTCCCCTCCAACGGCAGTGAGCAGCTCACAGGTGCCCGGGCCCGGCGTACCAGTGCCAGGCCTGTCTGCCATAACTTCGCACGGGTCCCGGGGCTGAAAGCTCCAAAGACGGAAGTGTGCACAGTTCTTCACGCTCCTGGCTGCCCTGGCTCTGAAGGTGGACCTGGCTGCTGAGCAAGGGGCCAAACAGGGAGAAGGTGTGGGACAGTGCCCCAGCCAGGCCTTCGCTTCGGGCCCCACTGTGGGCTCCCGTGGCACAGGGTAGGACCAATGGACCCTGGCCTCAGAAAAGAGAGCGGCGCCAGTGCCATCTCCGGGGGCTACTGGTGACCCCCGGGTGGCTGATGATGCACCCGGGAACTAGAGGGCTGCCTGGCCTGGCCAGCCCCATTGAGACTGGGTGTGTGTGTGTGTGTGTGTGTGTGTGTGTGTGTGTGTGTGTTGGGGGGAGGGGGGAAGTGGAGGAGGAAGCAAGGCCAGGATGTGGGCATGATGATGATGGAGCCGTCCGATAGGGGCGTGGGGGTGGCTCTGGGGAGCCGGCCTGGGCACCCTGGCAGACACGCCGGCTTCTCCCCTGGCTGGGACTTCCGGTTCACAGCTGTGCTGTGCATTATACAGGACCATGAGGGCTCCTGTTTCACGCCCTGAAGCTGCAAGGTGTCACTTGCTTCTTCCCCTTCCCTAATTCTTTATCCGAAGCCCCTGCAGCCTCGCTTTCACCAGCGGGGAGGGGAGGGCGTGGCGGGGGGTGGGGGGCTGTGAGCTGGTCTTTTGGCAGGCCCGGAGGTGTGCGACACCTGCCTGGTGTCACCGATCGGCCCTGTCACCAGACAGCAGTGGGGGTGCTCCCTGCTTCCCACTCATGTTGGGTGTTTATTTTTCTTAGAGGAAAGAAGCATAATTTGAAAAGACCCAAAGTGATATTTGTCAGGATAAGTAACCCATCCAGGTGTACAGATGGCAATGACACGCCAAGTGGATTCTGACACACGACAGTGGCTCCCAGGCGGAAGCCACAGAGGCCGGCGGGCCGGAGCTGGTGGCGGTGGGGTTGGGGGGGAGGCCCCGCAGCACAGTAGCACCCACAGGCTTCCATCCTGGCCGCCGGCTCCTCTGTGGGTGAGCCACCTGTGCGCTTCCGTCCAGCGTCCCATCACAGGTGCGTTCATACTCAAACACAGCAAGAACATCGTGGAGGGGGTGGCTGGGTAGGGGGGTGGCCTGGGCTGGGAAGACCGCTGGGCACAGGGGAGGACGGCAGGGACCTGCACAACGACGGGACTCAGCCCTGCGGAGTGAAAGACGGGGTCGGAGACGGGGATTTCGAAAGCGCTCTCCTGGCCGTGGCGGGTGGGGTGGGCACCAGCAGCGCCCCCTTCGCCCTCCCTGTCCTGCAGCCGACCCGGCCGTGTCCGGCTGCTTCTCTCCGCACGCTGCTGGTTGCTGGGCTGTTCCTCAGCGGCCGGGCAGGGAGGGGGCCTGGCTGCACCCCGGGCGAGGGCGAGAAGAGCAGCCCTCTGCCGGCCGCGGCTGTGTCTGCGCAGTCCTCCCAGGGGGCTCGGCTGAGTCCTCCGACTCGCGGACCGTGATGGAATACTGAGGTATATAGTTTCGCGGAAAGTTTAAGAAACGTAATCAAGAATGTGATCGGCAGACTCAGCCCGCTGGTGCAGGCGGCGGGACGGCAGGGGCCCCCCACCCCGGGCCCTCCTACTGCTGCAGGTTGAGCGAGAACTTCCACTGCTGCGACAGGGCCGGGCTGCACACCTCCACGCTCAGGCCGCCGTTCTTGGCTGTGCGGCTGTCCAGGCACAGGTTGCTGCCCACGTGCCGCAGCTTAGAATTGCCTTCGATCTGTTCCCATTTCTGCAAGAGGCAGAAGAGCACAGAGAATGAGCACACGCGGGAGAGGCCCAGAGACGCCTTCCGACTGGGGGCGCCCCGAAGGCCAGGAAGAGGGGAGGGAACGGAGGCGCTGACTGACGTGACGTGACAGTCTAGGCTGTAGACATGTGTTGGGATATCGCATGGCGCCCCATAAAAATGTGAAAGTATCGCATGTTAACACCACCACAAGCAGACGGGCAAGCTTCCTTGCGTCCTTTTATCGGATGGCCTCTGGTTATAAAGGGTGGCAGTTAGCGATGGTCCCAGGACACAAGAGCCATGGGCACCGATGAGGACCCAGGAGGGAAGCAGGCAAGCTCCACCTTGCTGCCACCTTCACCGGGCGTCCCTTCGCCAGAGCCCCCCCGGTGGTCGGGGCACTACCTCCCTCCCCACCCAGTCGCTACCACAAGGACTCGATTGTCGCTCCCCCTCTTCGTGGAGGAACGACACAGGACCCTGCGCTGTTCTTTCGTCTGCTCGGCCCTCCCCGGGTTTGCTGCTGGTTCTTCCCGGGTTGGCTACTATCCTTCCACCTCCGTGGAAGGGCAGTTCCCCCTGGCCACATTCCC